CACTCCCATTTTCCTATTCTTGTATACTGTAACCAAGTCACGCAATGTTCAGTGGACAATAGTCTGGCATGTTTTTCAATATTTAGCCATCATGACTTTTCGTCGGCCCTTTCGAATGGAAATCTCCGCGTCGAATCGGAAACTGGATAATTCAATTAGATGGGACTAGACAGCTGTCTACGCCGTCTTAGATGAACAGGTAAACCAAATATGACAGGATTTGTAGAAACTTATGGTAGAATATGGTTTAAAATTTTGAAACGAGAAGAACAAATATGAAAACAAGTTAAAAAATAAAAGGACAATGATCGTGATTTTGAATTTATCATCACCAATCTGTGTTTAATTAGAAAGCAAGAAAATATTAGCCATTTCTTTGACGACAAAATGAATGAATATCTAAAAAATATCCCCTTCGTTTCAGGTTTAAGAAAAAACTCATCAATAATCCTCAAAAAGGATAAATTATTTTAACCACAACTGACAATACAACCCTAATCCTTTTATAAAATAAGACCACCAAGGCGAAACAAATATCCAGAAATCATACAAAATGTTGAAAAAAGGAGTCATTCCCTAGAGACCAATAGTACGTTTACGGTTTTCACAATCATCTGTTGTTAAGAGGATATTAAATATTTCGTCGGGTTTCGTTTAAAAGGAGGGAAGGTTTGAGAAGATTTTCCTAAATCCAATCTTTTTCTTTTCTAAAAGTAGTATAATATAGAAATAGTATAATATTATTTTGGCTGGTAAGTATTAAGAAAATAAAACGGAAAGTTTAGAAATAACATCGAATACAATCAAATATCGAAATTCAGGCTAATGTAGTATATTCCTATTGATAAAAAATTACACAAATCTTATTTTTAGTTTAAAAATAATTCGATATTGTACTTGCAAATCTTTTTCTTTCTCTCGGAGGATATCGATGAAGGGATGATAAAAAAAAAAGGGAAGAATTCGTTGTAGATGAAAAAAATGAATTGGCCCTTTGGTGAATGCAATTATGCATGCAGTAAATAGATTATCGGCTAAGAAATCCCCATCGACGAGTGACGAATTCACCTGAATACGATATAAACCATTGCTGTGGATTCATTTTAACGATGGTCCAAGGGAACTTTGGAAAAATTGAGGGAGGTTGGTGTGAAAAGAAAAAAGATCTCCATAGGGTAGAGGAGGCTTTTCGAGGTTACGGTCACGGCTAAATCGTGAAAATTAGTGGCATCTGGGATCCGTTTTCTTTCTTTCTTTCCTCCTTTATCTATCCATCTTTTTCTCTCCCTAAAACTCAGTTGCCTCTCGTTCGAGGAAGACATTCGAAAAATTGGGCGGGCTGGTTGGTTCGTACTTTGAAAATGTGCTCTCGTATTTCTTTTAAAAATTCTTATAAAATAGAAAATACCGTTGGAACTTTGAATTCGATCAGTTTTCTAGTTTAATAAATGACTTAGAGTTACCTAGAATTACTTGCAATTAGATTTGTATGTAGGAACTTATGGGACAACCTAATAGAATCCTAACGAAAGCAACATTTTAATAAAACAGTATTTAATATCAAGGAAGATATTTTCAAATTTTGTACGATTTATTTCTACAACTTTCTATAAATATTTCTTTTCCAAGAAATTAAAATTGTGTTCACGGTTGAAAATCAAACATCTCAGAAAAATAATTGTCGTCAATTATTTAGAGGTTTTTCTGAAACCACAAATTTTTAAAATAAACTTAGAAACGTTAGACCTACCAGGATACTATTGTGATTTGAATTATGTTTGATACCTCGTTAGTAGATTTACAAATATTTGGAAAAAATGTTAGTCAAAGTGGCCTCGTATTTGTCAAAGAAAAGGAATCCCAGATTTAACCTCGAGATCGAACAATGGTATCAAGAAAAAAGAGAGAAACAGAAAACTCGTAAATCATGAAAGAAAAGAAGAGAATTTTCCAATTCACGTGCCACGTTTTTGTAAATTGTTTAGTTTGGATCATTGTAATCATTATTGGTATATTATCGCTAACAAGAAGCTTTGTTGGAACTTAAGTACAGTACATTTTATTCACCTGTTTTGTCCTTCCTGTGGTCTATCATTCTCTCTTACATTCTTATATTAAATTCAAACAAACATTGCATTCTTATAATAATGCACCACGCGAAGTTTTTCTTTCACGAAAGGATCCTTCCTTCCTTGGTATCTATAAGTATTCTGACTTCAAAAGAAAACCTTGACATTGAAGTATTATTCAAAAAGTTAGATCAAAAGGGTTTTCGAATAAATCCAAAGATCGTTTCAAATATATAGAAAAGTTCTTTACAAATAATTCGATGTTACCAGTGTGAAATAAATAATCTTTAACATATTTTGGAACTATAGTTACGTTTTTTTAGAATTGATAAAAGTATTCAATTTATTTGAGATACAGAATAGATTAGGAATTTCTAAACGAATCCAAAAACATCTTCCAGTCCATGGAAAACTGTTCAGGGTCGTAGTTTGAAAAATTCATGAATGTAGACGAATAAAAAAAAAAAAAAAAGAAGAAAATCAGGGCGACAATCTTGAGGAGCAGAGTTGCAGTAGTGGTTGAACAAAATGGAAGGTGAGATCGAAGAGTAAGTTTAGAAAGTAGATTGCAACGGTTAGCAAGAAAGAGAAAGATAGTAAAAGAAATAGGGGAGGAAGGAGGGATAAGGAAGAAAGTGGGAGTGGCCCTTTTACCTCGAAGGATCGAAAAGAGAAAGAAAGAAAGAGAAAGAGAGAGAGAGAGAGAGAGAGGCAGTGCAGTGCAGTGCAGTTCCTGGCGAACGTGAAGCACCCTCGCATCGCGCTCGTGCCAGAGACAATGGCGCCATATTGTGAAAATATTGATTACGATTCGGGCAACAATGGAGACAATGGAACCAGTGCGACTTCTTGCTGCGGTGGCGGTACTCCAGGAAAAGAGTTCCTTGAGTATGCATCTCTCAACCAGACACACACACATATACGTACGCTTACACAGTAGGATTTCTTCTTCAACATTGCAGCCGCCATCGTCGATCGTCTCAAATCCGCTTCTCTTTCTCTCTTTCTCTCTCTTCTACTTTCTTTACAAACCTAACCCGATAGAGTAGTGCTTTTATTCCTTCTCAAAGAGTTATTCTATCACGGTAAGGGAAGAAAAGCGTTGCAAACAATGATACCTACCCCTTACTTTAAATCCATCGCCACCAACCAACACCACCACCACCAATGTCGTCGTCATCGCCTTGTCAAAGTTTCCCTTTGAACTCTTTTTATAGATTTTTTAGTCTTCTTTCAATTTTTTTTTTCTTTTATTGTGTTTGCTTGTTCTTGCAACTACTAACAACCCAGCTAGCTAGCTAGCTAGCTAGCCGTTCTTTCGATATAATTTTTTTCTTTAATATTTCAAAGGTACAAACAATTTGAAATGATGTAAGGAAAAAAATAAATAAATTTGAAAGAATTTTACAGATTTATCTTATTATTCATAAAAGATCAACACTTCATTGTCCAACCCTCTCCAATAACTCAACGAGAATAGCATACCATTAAGTCCGAGAAGAAAAATTTGATCTCGAAAGATTTTTAAGATGAGAACGTATAGGATTAAAGAAAAATAAAAAAGTAGAAAGAGAGAACAATAGTCTAGCGTTTTGGAAACGTGGTAACGAGAAGAGGAGAGGGTCGAACGTTAGAAATCAAAGGGACACGATGTGAACGAGCAAAGAGAAAGAAAAAGCTAGAGAAAATACGTTCGACGTGTTCGGTTTAATATTGGGAGAGAGAGAAAGATTGAGAGTGAGAGAAAAGGAGGGTGAAAGGGAGGAGGGATGAAGTCACTTTCCTTTGTGGTAAAACAAGAAAAAAGAGAGAGAGCGAGTGCATTTTAAAAGAGTGACCACAAACAAAAAGTTAGCCCTGATTTTTAGCCGCTCGAACGAGTTGCTGCTGCTGTTGGTCGAAACTAAACGAAATGAGACGAGCCTGTTCGAAGTGTAGAATATAAAAAATACATCATACAGACTGGTATTATGTATATACACCCCGTGTTCCATTCTGTTATCCTGTGGTGCACAGGAGGCAGCACCCAACGTTACCGTTGTTGTTTGTTGTTGTGTGTAACTGCGAAATCGCACGGTTTCGTGAGTTTTTGTATTACGATTGAGAGGCATTTCGCGAACTCAAGAGGCGTTTTGTTTTTGCCATTGGGGCGGACAGGAGGCTGGCCGTTTTCCTAATGGCTCGTTGATTCGAAAAAAATCGACTAAATCCGATTCGCATATACCTTTTTCTCTTTTTCTTTTTGTTTTCTTCTTTTTTTTTTTTTTTGTTTCTCTGTGGGGTGAACGAGCGGATAGAGAATTTCGATCATTGCTGACTCTGCTTCGAAGTAATGTTACGAAAGAGAGAATGAACAGAGGGATGGCTAATTCTTTCGTTCAATTTTTTCAAAATACTCGCTTGGATTTATTTTGTTGGGTCCTTTAGATATTTTTTGTTTAGATAAAAAAATTAGTTATAAGGGGGGTATGTGTTTGATTCATGTGGTAGTGGTGGTAGAGAAAGAGGCCGCGTAATTTAAATATTTTTCACAGCTCTAAAAGAGATCGATGAGATAAAACAAGTATGCGCTTCGTGCTCGGCAATAAGCTACGCCTCATACACCATACTCTTCAAGAATTTCACCTCTAACGCGTTTTTAAAACGATTATCCGCTGAGCTAGCATTTCCCCGAGGGCCTCCAACTTCTTCTTGAAAGACTTGTCTCGCGAAAGAAAAAGAAAAGACAAAAATCTTAGAAAAAAGAAATAAGAAGAGTCGTCGCGGGTATTCGATTTTTAAAATACAAAAAAAGAATGAAAGAAAAACAACAAGTGCGTTTTCAATGCAAAAATTATAATTTTATTTGTACTTTATCTTATTCCTTTAAACAAACAAAACACAATACAAAAATATAATTATTATTGAAATACATTTGTGAATATTGAATTAATGTTGCACAGTAATGCCAGATGCAAATGATCGCAACACGTCGACTTTTTAATAACCTACACGTTATAACATATGTTTTGTTTTCGATATTATTATATGATCTAATACAAATTTACTCAACACACTGTGTGTGTATATATCTACATGTAAAATATGTATACATATTGTGTGTATGTGCATTGTTCATTTTTATTATTATAAAAAAAAAAAAACAAATAAATAAAAAATATTCATATCAGTAGAATGCATATTACGGGAGAGTCGTATAATGAAGATAAATCATGCAAAGAAAAAGAAAAGAGAAAATTTAAAGTTGTAAGAACGATTGAGATGTATTCTTTCAATCCACGATTCAAGCTGACGTGCGTATTCTTTATCTTATCAAATTTTCTCTAATATAAATATGTATACACGCATAAACATATATTATATCAATGTTTTAAATTCTTCAGTGCATAGTTGAATGCTGTTAAGAACGAACGAAAAGTGTTACATTAAAACAAGATTGACAAATTAATATCAAATATTTTTTTTTTTTTTTTTTATAAAACACCTAACACAAGCATTCATTCGAGTCATGAGTATCGGTGACGTATGGTTGAGAGACACTGTGATGTCATACGGAAAAATAATTGTAACATTAATCATATTAATTTATATAATCTTTAGAAAATGGCCAAAATTATGTGAAATTGTTTATAAGGCGCATCTCCTTGGATTCGAGATGGAACTCGCGGAAATTGCATTTCCTTACAAGAAGGAATTGTTTAAAATACTTGAAACTATTGTTTCCAATGACGAATCACTTCGATCTAAGGGATGCATTCGCGTACTCGAAATTGGAGTTAAAACTGGTGCATAATTGAAAATTATAATTTATTTTAGTTTTATATACGTTAATACACTTGTAGTTGCTAACACAATCATAACTATTTTACATTTATTTAACAGTTAATTATAATTGCATTCTAACAATAATATATATATATACATTACCTTCTATGTATACCTATGTTAATGAAATAAAAATTAATAATAGCAAGTGTATGTATAAGGAGGGTGCATCATTTTTTAATTGAAATACTTAAATTTCTTTTAAAAATTAATAATATAATCTATTATAAAATTAACCATCACATAATATATAAAATTTTTTCCATAAAACTATAAATAGCAAACCACTATATTTAAATATGCTAATTAAAATTATCCATCGTGTATAACACGTAATCAAATTTATTGTATAATTATATTCAAAAAATGTAATAAAAACAAAACTATATATATATATATATATATAAGAAGGTGCTAATAAATTTTATTTCAAAAACAAATTGAACGAAATACACAGAAACAATAGAAGAAAATAATAAGACGTAAATAAACAACGTATTATTTATTACAATATGCTGAATAATTGCTTATAAAATAATTAATGTTTTCAGGTGATAATATTCGATTTTATCCAGACAATACTCATTTTATCGGTGTTGATTGGAACACAAAGTTGGCCGAGTACCTTAATGATGACAATCATTCCTGGCAATTCGGACATATATTCGTCGAACGTCTCATTATCGGGGATGGCAGTAATTTAAAACTCATTCCTGATAATCACGTAGACGTTGTAGTATCGATTAGATCACTTTGTTCGATTAAATTACCACTAAATGCTTTAGATGAAATTAAACGGATCCTCGGGCCGGTAAGAACGCAAGCCATTTATGTTCCAACTTAAGAAATATGGAAATAATTTGTCACAATCAACCAAATAAGAGTAACGTTAATGGGAATGATCGATAGCACCCGATTATATCTCGTAATCTATAAAACAAACATACATTCATCATATCATCATAGAAAAAAATGAAAAAAGAATCAAAAAACAAAAAAAAAAAAACAAAAATTGAGCTTTCTATTCATCAAAATGTAATTAATTGATTTTATATATTTTTTATTAGGGTGGAAGATATATCTTTATGGAACACGTTCCAGAAACAAAAGATTATTTTTTACGCTGGATACAAATAATATTAACGCGATCAGGGTTGTGGCCATCGTTATTCGGAAATTGTCATTTGGATTTTGATATTATAAGAGAAATTAATGACGCTGGTTTCAAACGTGTTACATCAACGTCGATCATACTAGACGGTCCTGTTTCTCAAACTGTACATTTATTACTCACCGGTCAACACGTGCTAGGTGTAGCAATGCGATAAGTACAAATGTTCAATTTTTTTCTTTATATACATAAAAGCAAGTAAATTATTTCTTTCATATTTGTATTCCAAGATTACTTATTTTGATTATATTTTGTAGGAACAATGTATTTCAAATTACATAAAGCCTTGACGTCAGGCTATTTATTGAGTTGGCAACAAAGCGAGTGCAATTATTTTAATAATAACTTACCGAAAAAATCCGCAATCACTTAGTTGTCAACCCAATATTATCTTTATATTTTTAATGTAAACTTAAAAGAACATTTGTTTGTGTTCGTTTGTTTTTATCTTTCTTTATTTTTGTTATTAGAAAATGAATCTTTAATAATATAATTATAACAATATTATTAAACATATTTTCTAATATAAGAAATTATTTTTATTCGCTCCTACTCGAATCTGAATCCGTTTCATAAACTTTAGTAGCAAAAATACTCTTCTGAGAATTATTCTTTTTATTAACGATTAATCTTTTCATATTTTTCTCATTGGAACTTTCAGTTTTTCCCGATATTGTTTTTAACGTAGTATCACATTGTTTATTACTAGTAGAACATGTCATGTTAACTTCAATTTTATCCATTCTAGCATTATTTAACAATTTATTTATATTATGTATAATAGAGAGACTCTTTTTAGAATGGGATCTAGTTTTTGTGCAAGTATTCATATTGGTGCATTCAGATATGAGTTTATTAACTGATTTCGCCATATCATCATTATCGTTAAGTAATTTCGTATTTTTTCTTTCGCACTGCTTTCTATTCCCGTAAAAATTGAAAATGCATTGCATAAATGTTTGATTCATATCCAATTCTAAATCTGAGTTTGATTCTAAATTTGAATCTGAATCGTAAAGACAAACAGAATGATTGTTACTAGTGTAAAACGTTGGCAATCGTTTTATATTGCTTGTAGGTCTTTTTTTTTGTACTCCTTGTCTAAGGGACTCCTTTCTCTTCGAGTTTGAACTATCCAAAGGTAGACAATTATTTTCCCCTAAATTATCTGTACATTTTTCTTTTTTTACTTGAACTTTATCATTCTCACTAGAATCTTTATATCTTTTATTATTACTTTTATGCAAACTTTTTACATTATACTTCGGTAACAATCGTTTCAACTTTACAATCGGTCTCATTGACAATTTATTATCCGAACTTAGCAATTTATTCAATTTTTCCATGCTGGAAAATGCAGAATTCTTTTTAAAATTTGTTAGATCTTTTAATTTTGTTAACACCACAATTGGTTTTAATGTTTTGATAAAAGCTGTATTATTGTTTAACGATATTTTCGTACATTCTTTTTTATCGATATGAGAAATGTAATCATTTAATTTTCTCGATATATGTTTTTTTCTTTTAATGGTAGATCTAACAAATTTTTTCGATGTTTCTATATCATTTAAATTGTTCACTCTTCTATGTATTTTCATCCGTTCGATGAGGGGTTGTTCCGATTTATTTATATCATGTGAATTGTTAACTCTTCTATGTTTTTTCATCCGTTTGATCAGGGGTTGTTCCGATTTATCTATATCATGTGAATTGTTCACTCTTCTCTGTATTTTCATCTGTTTGATAGCTTCTATAGGTTGCAAGTATTTCAATTTTTCTTCATCTATATCTTTATTCAATTCTTTTTCCAATTCTTTATCCAATTCTTTATCTAAACCTGTATCTGAATCTGTACCTGAACAATTATCTGAATTTTTATCTGTAACTTTATTTAATTGATTTTCTTCTAAATCTTTATCCAATTGATTTTCTTCTGTAACTTTATTTAATTGATTTTCTTCTAAATCTTTATCCAATTGATTTTCTTCTGTAACTTTATTTAATTGATTTTCTTCTAAATCTTTATCCAATTGATTTTCTTCTGTAACTTTATTTAATTGATTTTCTTCTAAATCTTTATCCAATTGATTTTCTTCTGTAACTTTATTTAATTGATTTTCTTCTAAATCTTTATCCAATTTATTATTTATGTTATAAAGATTTGGTGAATTAACAAAATTTAAAACAACAGTTGAACAATCACTTCCAAAAAAATCATAAGATGTCGATACATCCTTACAATTAAAAAGAAGGATAGTACTAGCTTCGCTATCAATCGAATCATCCCTAGTAGCAATTTCAGAATCAAATATTGTATCGATGGAACTATTAAGACATGTTTCAAGATTGCTGATGTTACACATATCCTTATCATTAATCTTGTTGTTTTCCATTAATTTTTCTTTTGGGGCTTGCAACATTTTCTTCTTTGTGTTATATTGGACAATCTCCTCCGGCAAACGTTTCAAAATAACACAAGGATTAAGCTTATTCTGAAATATCTGAAAATCTTTACTGATATTGTCAATAATAAATGTTGTTTTGCTAGATGCTTTCTTCGTTTTAGGTTTGTTTTTTTTAAGATGTCGTTTTTCATTATCAACGTTATTAATGTAGTCCGAAGTTGGAAAACGTTTTATTTGTTCTATCAAAGCATTACACGATACTCGCAATCTTTCACTTGGCATCGAATTTTGAAAGATCGTTAGATTATCTTCTAAATCTATAAAATCCGTTTCATTTTTTGGGATACAAGTCTCTTTTTCCAGATTATTATTTGTGATAATGTCTAGAGATTTTCTAATATCGAATTTACTTCTTCTTTTTTTATGTAATAATTTTTTCGACGATTCTTCCGGTGGTGGACTGTTTCTAAAAGCAGGATGTAAATTCATCTTTGCATCAAAGATATTGTTATTCTTAAATTGTGCCACTACAATGTCTATCGGAGACTCTCTGCCGGTGTATAATTTCTTTTGTCGAGAACGTCTTAAATTGGAGGAATTTTCTATATTTATTGCTTCTTTTAATGTGGAATCATTTTCATTGTTAACATTATTTTCCTCAGTTTTATTTTTAGTATGCTTTGTGTCAGAGTCGCATACATTTGACATAGATAAATTTGAATTAATATGCATATTTTGTGTCTCATCTTTTTCTAACGATGTATTCTCATGCAAAGTATTTTTGGATAAAATTTTGCTGGAAGATTTGCTACTTACAATGGTGGCCATAGTTTCACTTTTCTTTTTATCCTTAATATTAGATAAAATATATGCAGTAGTGTCCACCGAACTACAGTTAAAACTATTATTGTCGCATAGCCTTATACTATCCGATTTGTCCGTATCAACATATCGTTGTATATACAAGGTATCAGTAATTGTATCGTAGCTTTTATGATAAGATTGTTTCACATTTAATGAACCTGTATCAACAACTTCGGTGTTATTCAAAACTGTTTGAAATGGTAAATAACCTGTATTTACCCAGAATCTTATATGCTTTTCCGTTAAATATGATGGTTTTATATAAGTGTTTAATTTTAATTTACTTTTAACTTTAGATGATTTTTCGTCTTTCCTTTTTTCCTTAATTATCTGCAATAAGCATAAATAATAATAAATCATAAATATTATCAATCTTTAAAACAATGTCTTTTAAAAAGCAATTTATACTTTTTCAAGAGCTATATCAAGAGACCATTCTGAATATTTTATGGAACTTGAAGTTCTATCTGACATGAGGCAATAAGATCCATTCCTATTCTTTTCTTCATTGGATCTAAAAAAAATATATTCATTTAAATCCAATTGTACATGTTATTAGCCAAACTATTAATAAATGTAAATATAATAATAATAGTAACAATAACAACAATAGCACAAACTTTATACATAAGAAAAGGAACGTTTATATTTGGATATAAAACTACATACAGCATAATAATAAAGTACAATGAACTAATCATATATGCAAAGAATAAAGGCTGCAAACAAATTACAAATTACTCACTAGTAATAAAATTAAAAGATACATGGAAACAATAGAATAAACAAATAGGAATAAAATCACAAATACAAAAAAAAACTACAAAAAGCAACAATAATTAAAACCTATATGCTAGTGAAAAAATTCTGCATCTATTAATATAAATAGGAATACCCATTATTACTTGGTCAGAAAAAATCCATATAAATATAATAAAACTAGGTAAACGGATTTAACGAAACGAAATAGTAATAATAATAATTAGATAAAAAAAAAAAAGAAACTTTAACTATACTTTTCAGTATTATTGTATAAAGAAGTAGATACTTCATGGTCACTACAATATTTAGTTTCATTCATTTCTGCCATTTTTATAATAAAATAGAAGCACTACTAACAATATACACTTCACTCACTCTTTTATACTAATTTTGTTCACTATTTTTAATGAAAACACAGATTCATGCACGTTATAAAATAAACAAGTCTGAATGCATCTACTACAAATACTGCAATTTTGCCAACTATATAAAATTAAAACAAGAAAACGTCTTTCAAATCAAGCTAAATTCATTATAATAACTTAACGCGCTATGTAATTAATCATAAATAATTACTTTTAAATAAGTCTTCTTACATGAAACTGTATTTTTAATATTAAATTCATTACTTTTTTATTTTTAATTATAGAAGAAATGGAAAACAATATGGCCAACGGCGATGCCCAATCAAATATACAAATTAAACCAACAAAAATTAATATTAAATTTTATTTCTTTTTTTTTTAATAATATATAGATTAATTTATACACAGAGAATAAATTAATGAGAGAGAAGAAAGAGATGGAGAGAAATTTGTACTTTTAAAATAATATATATAAACGTATTGATGTAATAATGAACTCAGCTATCTGAAAAATAGTCACATCAATTTTATGTTGGTAATGAATAATAATACGAAATTGACCATAAAAAAACATCATTGATAAATATATGTGTGTGTGTGTGTTGGCAATTACTACGTGAATAAAATAAGGGAAAAATAGTAATCAAAATAAAAATATTTGTTTATTCTTTTCATGAATTTTAGAGATATGTTGTAATTATATAATAGGAGGTTGCGCAATAGAAATTAACCATTACGCCGGATTTATTCCCGAAAAGTCAAGTGTTTTCGTAAGATATCAATATTTTTTACGTGATAAATTAAAATCTTGATTTACTGGGTGATATTTTGATAACGGTGTTCATCGATTTAAACAGATGAATCTATTCGTTAATCGTGCTGTTACTGTACGAGGAATATCATCTTTAGGTTCTTTTAATCGAAGCTTTCATTTATCATCCAGAAACATGGTTATCGCTGTAAGTTCATTCAATTTTATTTAATAATTTAAAAATTTAATAAAATAAAAATATAATTTATATTTTTCAACATAAAAGGATTTCATTGAATTTGATTTCATTTTGTTCAGTAATTTTAGAATTGAACACTATACTAATAAAATTATATCTATCAGTTTTTGGATTATTATTATTATTATTTTATTATATTATATTATTAAATTAATGTTAATTAATGGGAATTACTTTGAATTAACTTGAAATTTTGTTTCTTTTTTAATATGGAATCCATATTGGTTCATTTTTGAATAATTAATTATAGGCAAGTCATCGAGCACTTTTTAAGAATTAATTTGTTTCTTCGAATGCAAGCTACGTCATCATGATGTTGTATTAATTATCATTGAAAATATACAGGTTGGTAGCAAATTACCCTCGGTTGACCTTTTCGAAGATAATCCAACTAATAAAGTTAATCTAGCTAAACTTAGCGCAGGGAAGAAAATTATTATCTTCGCTGTACCTGGTGCTTTCACTCCTGGTTGTTCAAAGGTAAATATTTGATTTTTATTCGCAAACATATTTTTCACATTGTATACATTTGAATTATCTTTATTTATTTATTTAGACGCATTTGCCTGGTTTCATTCAAAAAGCTGATGAATTAAAAAGTAAGGGAATCAATGATATTTATTGTGTAAGTGTTAACGATGCTTTCGTCATGGCTGCCTGGGGTAAAGAACAGGGCACGTTAGGAAAGGTAATAAATAGTTATAACAAATGTTTATATTTGTTAAATCTTTTTACATATGTTTTATATATATATATATATATATATGCATTCACATTTATATGTATTTTGTTTTTCATTTTAAAAGATACGAATGCTAGCAGATCCCAATGGTGCATTTGCAGATGCTTTGGAATTGTCAGTAGATTTACCAGTTTTAGGTGGTAAACGAAGCAAACGTTATTCCATGATTGTCGAAGATGGAGTTGTAAAAGAACTCAACGTCGAACCGGATAACACTGGACTTTCCTGCTCGTTAGCTGAACACATTAAACTATAAAATAATATGAGAAAAGTATCTTATATTCTATCATAATTATTTTTATTATAGCTTCTTTCAGTTACTATTTTTCTTATTATCAATTTAGTATGAACACAAATGATCATTTGTATTTTCTTTTATTATGTACACAATTTTCTGTACATTTTGTTAATATATTTAATATAAAACAAAGTTAACACATAATGAATAATGTGAAAAAAAGATTAACTAAAGTCTTAAGAACTGGTCAGTCAATGAATATATATATAAACAAATAATATATATGATTAATATAATTTAATTGTAACATTGTGTTGCATGTTATAATGTATGGTAGAAATAAACAGCATTATACCAAAATGAATTTAATTATTATTATGTACATAAAAAAACATGTATATAATTTTTATTTAATTTTTATACATGAATGTGTGTTGTATATGTGTAATATTTATATTTGTATATAAAAAAAATTGTTATAACATTAATGATACATATCAACGATTCACGTAAGGTTGGTAGCACTTATTGAGATTAGTTGTACAATGTTTGCTTCTGGCAGAGATTTTCTGGCGCCAATTGAATTCTTTTGATAATACATGTAATTTATAGTAATAGTTTTTAAAATGCCTGCTTTTTTGAAACATATCGAAGTAGAAAACTTTAAATCATATAAAGGAAAACTTATTATCGGCCCATTAAAATCGTTTACTGCGGTTGTTGGACCAAATGGATCTGGTAGGTTATAATTTTGTATATTAACATTTTTCTAATGTACAGTAATAAACAATCTCTATGATGATTTATTATATTTTCTATCGACACAGGTAAATCTAATTTCATGGATGCCATTAGTTTTGTTATGGGGGAAAAGACTAGTAGTTTACGTGTCAAAAGGTTCAACGAACTAATTCATGGTGCTTCGATTGGCATGCCAGTGGCAAGAAGGTATATATTATTTTTTTCAATAATTCATAATAACATTTATTCTTCTATATATATTTTCAATATTATAATTATTTTTATCATTATGCATTAGTGCATCGGTAACAGCAGTGTTCGAATTAGAGGATGGCAATGAAAAGAGTTTCATGCGCTCTGTCCAAGGATCTTCATCGGAACATAGAATTAATAACAATGTAAGATATATCTATAAATATAATTCAGAATATAATAAAACAATGTTTATATTAATTATTTTCTTTTTCTAATAGGTTGTTACAAGTCAAGTTTATCTCAATGAATTGGAACAATTAGGGATTAATGTAAAAGCTAAAAATTTTTTAGTATTTCAAGGTGCAGTCGAATCAATTGCTATGAAAAATCCAAAGGAAAGAACTGCACTGTTTGAAGAAATTAGCAATTCTGGAGCTTTAAAAGCAGAATATGAAAGGCATGTTTATTTCAATCATTATTTACTATATTTAAAATTTGTTTCTGCACGTACTATATAATTAGAAAAGTTTATACAATTTAGATTGCGATTAGAAATGTTGAAAGCTGAAGAAGAAACTCAATTTTCATATCAGAAGAAGAAAGGCATTGCGGCGGAAAGAAAAGAAGCTAAATTAGAGAAAGAAGAAGCAGAGAAATATCAACGTCTTAAAGAAGAATACGTACGTTATTTTGACAATTTTATTTGTTAAATATTATTGATCATTTATGAGATGATTCTTATTGAACGTATAATTTTAGATAGAAAAACAAGTGGAGTTACAGTTATTTCGTCTTTTTCATAATGAAAAAAGTATTGAAAATTTGGAAGTAGCACAGAAGAAGAAACAACACGAGATAGAAAAGATAGAAAAGAAGAAAGAGAAAGCGGAAGAACTTTTAAAAGAAAGGAAAAAGGAAGCTGGCAAATTAGGTCGTGAACTTGCCAAAATAGAGCAAGATATTAGAGAAATGGAAGTAGAAATCACTAAGAAAAGACCTACGTTTATAAAAGCAAAGGAACGCGTAGCACATATGCAGAAGAAAGTGGAATCGGCAAAGAAATCTTTGGCTCAGGCGCGTATCGCAGATGAAGCCCATAAAAAGGACATTAATGAACTTCAGGAAGAATTACGACAAGTTGAAGAAGCTAAAGCTGCTTACGAAGCGAGTATAGCTGGACAGTCGCAGTTGCAGGGAAGAGATGTTCAGCTTGAAGATGAGCAGGTATTTCAATAAATTCATAATAAAATGACCAAATACAAATTTTATTAACATGTTAAACATGGCGTGTAAATGTGGTAAAACTACACTCTTAATTTTATAATTTTAGGTTCGTGAATACAATCGTTTGAAAGAAGAAGCAGGCAAACAGTCGGCAAGATATCTGCAGCTTCTCGATTCCATTAACAGAGAACAGAAATCCGATCAAGATAGACTTGACAATGAAGGTAGAAAGAAAACTGAAATAGAGAATAAGCACAAGCAAAAAGGTCATATGCGCGACGAAGCTTTGAAAAGAGTAGAGAAACTAGAAGAACATATTAGAACGTCCGAAGCTGCGTTGGAGGATCAAAAAAAACTTAGAGCAGATCTGCAATCGGATGTTGGTACATCTAAGGATAAAATACAAAATTTGCAAAGGGAATTAGAGAGTATATCCGAACAATTAGGAGACGCTAAGGTCGACAAACATGAAGTATCGAGAACTAAGAAGAAGACAGAAATTGTAGAAAACTTTAAACGTTTGTTCCCTGGAGTGGTACGAAAAGACATTTTTCATTTTCTTTTATTCCTATTATTAATATATTCAATTGAAGCATTATTTTTCTAATCTTTGTAGTATGATCGCATGTATAATATGTGTGAGCCAATTCACAAGCGTTACAACGTTGCTATTACGAAGGTACTTGGTAAATACATGGAAGCTATTGTTGTAGATACTGAAAAAACTGCTAGGCAATGTATTCAGTATCTCAAAGAACAATATTTAGAACCAGAAACGTTTTTACCCCTCGATTACATTCAAGCTAAACCTTTGAAAGAAAGACTTCGGTAATAAATTTGTTATTAGATTAATTTTCAATATAGTATGTATTGAAGATGATTATGTACAATAATTTAATATTAAATATTTAAATACTTTCAGTAATGTTCAGGAACCAAAAAATGTGAAATTGTTGTATGACGTATTACATTTTTCACCTAAGGATATCGACAGAGCTGTATTATTTGCAACGAATAATGCTCTCGTTTGCGAGACTCCTGAAGATGCTAATAAAGTCGCTTATGAAATGGATAAAAAAGCCAGATACGATGTAAGTGTTGAAATATTTTTATTTATATATATTTTTATAGTTTTTTATGTAATAATAAAAATATATATTTTCATTTATTTTCAGTGTGTAGCATTGGATGGAACATTTTATCAAAAAGCTGGCATCATTTCTGGTGGTAGTTTGGATTTAGCTAAGAAAGCAAAGAGATGGGATGAGAAACAAATGTCACAATTAAAGGCGCAGAAGGTATTATTATTTGTTGTATTTATATTTAATATAATTAGATCATAAGCATTAATTTGATTACAGGAAAAATTGACGGAGGAACTAAGGGAGTCATTAAAGAAGTCTCGTAAGGAATCTGAATTAAATACAGTCGAATCCCAAATACGTGGACTTGAAACTCGTTTGAAATACAACAAAAGCGACTTGACAGCAACTGTAAGCATTGAATTTATTTAATATAATTAAATATCTGTACCAAAAAATTATAAATAAGACTTTGTTTTATAGAAAAAACAAATTGCTGAACACGAATCCGAATTGGAAAGTTTACAAAGCGATTTAAATATGTTTGGTGTGAGTATAGATTAAAATTGATCATTTTATTGTTTTCATATTTGAATAAATATGTTACTACGGAAAAATTTTGTTAAATGCAGCCTACAATAGCTGCCATTGAAAAGACTATGGCTGAGAGGGATCAAGAAATCCAAAATATTAAAGAAAAAATGAATAACGTTGAGGACGACGTATTTGCAAGTTTCTGTGAACAAATTGGTGTTTCTAACATACGTCAATACGAAGAAAGAGAATTAAGGTATTTATATAAATATATTAAATTAAATAAATAATATTTTTAACATATATTTATAACGTATATAATAAAATAATTATCATATTTTATTTATAACAGATCGCAGCAGGAAAGAGCAAAGAAACGTATGGAATTTGAGAATCAATGTAATCGTATATACAATCAATTAGATTTCGAGAAACAACGCGATACAGAAAGTAAGCATTTTTTTTTACAATAATAATATTTTTAATCTCATTTATACAATAATTAATATGTTGAATTAATATAGGTAATGTTTTGAGATGGGAACGTGCCGTTCAGGATGCCGAAGATAAATTAGAATCAGCCAGACAAACGGAGTCCCATCAAAAGTCTGAAATAGATAACGATGAAACGCAAATGGAAGAATTTAAATCATCGCGTAGTGCTAAGAAAATGGAAGTTGATCAGAAAGACGATGAAATTGGTAAAGCTAGACGCGAAGTTGGAACTATTGCAAAGGACATTCAGTCGGCGCAAAAACAATTAAATTCTATCGAATCAAAAATAGAACAAAAGAAGGCAGAACGTCATGCTATCTTAATGCAGTGCAAGGTAATCATAATTTTAAGAATTTTATTGATTTCTGATCATTTTTAAATATACTTATTGATTTGATTAAGATGGAAGATATTGCAATTCCAATGCTTCATGGTAATATGGAAGATATTGCTGGAGAAACTAGTACAACTAATACTAATGATACGATCACTGACTCATCTATGAATACACAACAACAATATGAACGTGAAAGACGAATCACTATCGATTATGCACTTTTACCAGAAACTTTGAAAGACATTGAAGAAGAAGATACAAAGAAAACTACAGATAAATTAACAAAGACAATCAACGAACTACAAAGTACTATTCAAAGAATACAAGCACCAAATATGAAGGTAAAATATAATGAAAGATATAACATAATTAGTTTGTCTCATAATTTCTTTCTAATAATGTAAAAGGGTAATAGAGCAGAATGGTTCATATATAACACAGTAAATCAACCTTAAACAACAAATATCGTCTATTGAATTCGCATAAAAAAAAAGGATGGGACTTATGGGACAACCTAATATAACAGAAGTATTGATATAATTAAAAAAATAACATGAATATTTCAGGCTATACAAAAGTTGTATCTTGCTAAAGAAAAGTTACAAGAAACTAACGAAGAATTTGAACAGTCGCGTAAGAAAGCAAAAAAAGCAAAAACACAGTTCGAGAAAGTGAAAAAAGAACGACACGATAGATTCATGGCATGTTTTGAACACGTTGCTAACGAAATTGATCCTATTTATAAGGTTTGATTAACATTTATAATTAATAATCAAATTGTTCAATTGATGAAATCATTTGAATTATTATTTCAAATTAATTATTACAGAGTTTGGCAAAAAATCAATCTGCTCAAGCGTTCCTTGGACCAGAAAATCCAGAAGAACCATATCTCGATGGAATTAATTACAATTGCGTGGCACCTGGCAAAAGATTTCAACCGATGTCCAATCTTTCAGGAGGAGAAAAAACTGTGGCAGCGTTGGCTTTGTTATTTGCGATTCATAGGTAGACCTAGTTAACAAATTTTATTATACGTGTAAGAGAATGCGTGTGAGAATTTTTGAAAATCTTTTTCTTGTTTTTATTAGTTTTCAACCAGCACCATTTTTCGTTTTGGATGAAATTGATGCAGCATTGGACAACACTAATATTGGAAAAGTAGCGAGTTACATTAGAGACAAAACGAGCTCTCTTCAAACTATTGTTATATCATTGAAAGAAGAATTTTATTCGCATGCAGATGCACTTATTGGTATTTGCCCAGATGTAAGGTTTTTATTATTACAATTTTACACGAATCAAATAATGGAAAATATTTATTTATTTACTTATATTTATCTATCACATATTTTAGTTGAATATTTTTTATTTCAGGTTGGTGAATGTTTGGAAAGTAAAGTTTTAACACTCGATCTAACAACACTTCCAACACACATTAATTAATCTTAAAATTTTTTTAATTATTATTATTATTAAGATTTGACTTAATATATTTACGATTTTATTTAAAATAAAAATATTTTATATAAGATAAGGAGACATATTCGATTAAAACAAATTATTATATACGTATATGCAGATAATGTGAATACGATTAAAATTTATAGATTAGGAGCATCACATAGATATTTTGAAACAAATAACATTTTCTATGAAGCAAGACAAATTAATTCATAATGAAGATTTAATCTCATTTTGATTGAATAACTGCTTTATAATATATATAAATATTTGAGGATAATAGAAAGAAAAATATTTCTTACAATTAAATATACTCAAATATCTTCTAACAATTATATTTTTTTACTACTTTATCATGCTGCCGATATGTTATGTGCAAGGCAATAATTTACGTAACTTGGAAAAATAAAATTAAGATGTTGGACTGTGCATAAACAGGAAGAAATAAAAAATAAATTTCAAGGTAAAAATGTTACAATTTTATTCTATTATATCTTTACGATAAAAAAGTTATACATTTTTTTTTATAAATACTCTATTCTAATACTAATAAATACTTCTATTTCTTTCATTAAATAATTAAACGTTTATTTTTCTTTCTATTTGATTCAATGTTGAGTTGAAGTATAAATAATAAACTACATTATTGGATTGAAATTGATATAATTGTAATGTGTTAATTAAATTAATGAAACTTTTAAAAAAGAAAGACAGAGATCTCATATTTAATTTCGTTATGAAACTTCATATGATGTGTATGTGTAAATTAACATTTTCTCGATGAATAAATTAATTATATTAACAAAAAGAATAAAAATAAAAATAAATGTATCTATTTTTAGTAATATTAGTAGATTAGATGAGAATACTGTATTATAAACATTTTAAATCTAATTACTATAGCAAGAGAATTGTGTGATGATAAGAACTATAGTAATTAAATAGATAAGACCTATGATCATTTTTAGATCTGTGCATCCCATCAGGGAACATCTGATGCAGTCATCTTGTAAGCAATTTCTAATGCATTACACTTGTAAGATGACACCAATAGTAGCATAAACGATAAAGTATTATAACTAAGTATTTTCTTGTGTTATCCAAAAATGAAAAAGAAACCAAAAAAGTAAGGTAAAGTTTAATAAGATAAAAATAAAAAATTTGACTTATTGATTGAATAATTCTATTAAAAAAAAAAGAATATGTTAATATGAACATGTTGATGATAGTAATTCATAGAAAAGTAATAGAGAAGAAAATATAAAAGACTATGATTGTCTTTAATACGCTGTTGCGTTTATTAGAAAATACGAGATGACAACTCTGATTTATTTATGCGTTTATAAAAAAAGAAAAAAAAGATCAATGGTAACACATAACAGAAGCCAATGCAGTTAATTACGGTTATCGCCTAGTTGTATATAAAGTAAGATACACATGCACTTCTAGGATGGAATGCGGCCAAAATGATGATTGTTATTTAATAAAGTTATTAAGTGGAAATAGCACACTCACCCTTTTATATCGAAGAGTATTGTATAGCAGAGTATACTCTCTCACTGACTAATCAAAATAAGAAAGAACTCGCTAGATCTACAAAACTAGGTCGTATCTGACTTACTTAGAATTTAAGATCTGGATTGGAACCTGCATTTAAATACCAAGGACGCATGAAGTCATCTAGTTAACAAATATAAAGTACATTTCCCCTCGAACATTCGAGTAAAATTCTTCATTGAAAATAAATTGTTAATTTAAATATTGTGAGAGACATTGGAAACCAATATTTGTACAATTTTTCAACCCTTGTAGCTACCTCTTAATTTAAAATTAAAAATTCTATCTCTTTCTTTGGGACACACCACCATTTTAAAGGTAACAAAAACCTTTTTCTAACGATGTCAAAAAAATTGAATTTTAATTAGAGATGGAAAGGGTGGATAAATTAAATTGGATAAACATTGGTTTGTAACTTGTTCTATTAAATAAATCAAATCTCAAATTTATTTAAGGTAATCAAATTGAAAGCTGTACTAACTGTAATTAAACGTTATGGTTCGTGTATACTGTGTATAAGATTGTAAGAGGAGGAAGAGAAGTATATACTTTGTATATACAAATTAAAGAGAGTTCAAATCAAGAAACGAGAGATCGGGGGATACGGAAGAAGAAGAAGAAGAAGAAAAGAACGGTATGAGTTACACAGTGTGCACATCTTGTAAACTAGAGGATGATGACCTCCCTTGAGTAGTTACCAGAGCATCTGCTAAATAGATATGCGAGAGACAACACAGTTGTTACTAGTTTAGTTTGTCATCAGCACCGTAACAGAACCGGGAACAACCGAGAGTCTCTTCTCAAGGATTTTGAACAAGTTCTGTTTTCATCAACTTCTTTTTTTAGGAAGAAAAAAGGATTGAAAGAGGACACCTCGATGAAACGAGGGTACCTTAACAGGGCCACTTTTGGCCTGTTAATATTCCAACTTTTATTATTACCCCAAGTTTACTCGGCAAAAACGAAACAAAGGAAACATCGGCCTAGACAAGTCCAATCTCAACAGACTGTTAACGGTGAATACAGCGAGTACGATTATTACGATAATTATGAAGACTATGAAGAGAAGAATGGTGAGTCTTTTGACAGAATGGAATTGGAATTTTAGAGTTTACAAAATTAATTATATTAGGATTCATTGTGTTTTATTTTATTTAAAATAATATGATCAAGTTAAGATTTTATTGGAGTACACAAAAATGGTCTTTGCAACTCATTGGTAATTTAGTTATTTGTTAAATTATTTGTATGCATTTGCATAGATATAATTGCATATTGTATTTAATTAATATTTAAAAGTAAATACTTCAGAAGGGAAGTTGAAGTCTCATTGTCAGCTCTACCGGAAGTCTTTAATTTAAATAGGATATCGCACTTGTTAACGCGACGTATAAAACAATTAATCAATCGTTGTAATTGATAAAACGCAATTAATACTTTCTTTTAATTCCCTCTCTATTAATTCATACGTAATTTAATGCATTACAATTTCCGTTTAGATATTTTATATACCATAATAATTGTAATTCTTTTGAAATTAATACTGAGTATACATTTTTTATTTTTCATTTTATTCAGAGACAACGATACCATCGTCGTCCATTCCTTCAACAAACAATAATTTAGGTAAGAATTATTTCAAACCAATATTTCTATTAATTAAATACAATTTAGGTAATGTTTTTTTTTATTGTACAAATTGCAGGACGTGGAAGAATAAATATCGACTCAACAATATCAACATTTAAGCCAGAATCAATTACAGATTTATCATCACCACCAACGACACGATTTTTTGAACAAGGTATGTATTACAAAAATTACATGTTTTTTATTATTATTTAATATTCATTTTTCTTTTATTTTATAGAATCATTAGAAGACATACATTCTACGGTGGAAACCTACAACAATAATAATCCTGTAAGAGAAAGAAGAATTTATTTATTAATTATCAATGAAAAAATGAATAAATGATTGTAAATATATTTCATTTGATATTATTTATAGTTAGTAACAGAAATTGTTCCTGGAGAAAGTAATTACATAAGTTCTGTGGCAGTACCTGGACCACGTGTGAGTAATTTAATGGATATTATTAAAAATATTATATATGAGTGAAGTATTTAATATTTTTCAAGACTATTTTTAACAACAGGGGCAACCTGGGCGTCCAGGGGATAGTGGAAGACCGGGTGATTTAGGATATCCGGGACAACCAGGAACTCCTGGAATACCAGGACCACCTGGACCACCTGGACCTTTACCTGATGTAATCCATAATCTTATTTAATTAAAATTAATATAATAAAGGAGATCATATGTTCTTAAACTTAAATATTTTTTACAGGTATCGTTGTATTATCAACAACTTGCTTTATCTCAAGCAAGCGATGACAAAGGTCCATCGGATCTCAGACCATATCCTCTACCTGGACCTGGTCCTGTTGGTCCTCGAGGGCCTCCAGGTACACAAATTATATTCCTGATTACGTATACTTTATTTTTTGTTAATATATTTTTAATTAGTATTTTAATAAGTGTACATTTTTAAATTCTAGGACCAGCAGGTTTGCCTGGTCCGCAAGGTTTCCAAGGTCTTCGTGGAGAGCCAGGAGAACCAGGATTACCAGGTGCACCGGGAACTCCTGGTCCACGAGGTTTACCAGGATTAACAGGAAGAGATGGTGAAGGTGGTGAGAATGGAGAAGTGGGGCCACCAGGATCACAAGGACCAGTAGGACCAAGAGGACTTGCAGGAATGCCTGGTTTACCGGGTGTTAAAGGACACCGTGGCTTTCCAGGATTAGATGGTGCTAAAGGTGAACAAGGTATACCTGGAGAGAAAGGATCCTCTGGAGCACCTGGTCCGATGGGACCAATAGGTCCAGTGGCAAGTATCTCCTTAATAAAATGACAACAATATCTTATTATAAAATGTATGTACACATATTTGCAGGGTCCTGTTGGTCCACGAGGAGAAAGGGGTAGGGAAGGATTACCCGGACCACCCGGAATTAGAGGAATCGATGGAATTCATGGACCCCCGGGTCAACCTGTAAGTTGTTACTCAGGAATAACATAAACTATTAAATGTAATTTACTTATTGTATAGGCGTTTTATAATTTGTGCAATGTTACAGGGTGTGTTAGGTAAACCCGGTCCACCTGGATTCCCAGGAAATCCTGGAATTAAAGGAGATCAAGGAGCCCAAGGCCCAAAAGGAAGTCAAGGCTTACAAGGTCCACGTGGTATGTTTATAATTTTTCATTTTATTTTAGTAGGAAATGTATATTTTATTATTTTTATACAGGCGAAGCAGGACGGCCAGGGCAACCTGGAGAACCTGGACCACAAGGTTTACAGGGTAAAGATGGAGTACCTGGTGAAAAAGGGAGCTCAGGTATACAAGGCTTAGTTGGGTTACCCGGTTTTCCTGGATCTCGTGGAGAACCTGGCATAC